AATTAGGTTTGTTGTTTAATGCCATTTAGGTTAGGGTTAGGGTTAGGGTTAGGGTTAGGATTATTAGTCATTAATCATTATAATCATTAATGATATCAAAGTTGGGAACACTCCTAATGGAGCGTTAGCCCCAAGAGAGGTGCATGGCTTTGGACAGAATGTAAAGGCTATATTATATAGCGCGACGATGTAATGTAGAGCTATCTTAATTCTTTCTGCTCAAGCTCTTCAGCTCTGAAGCTGATATATATATATATATACACGTTGTGTGTTATTTCGTCCAAATTGTGTAAGAAGAATAAATCTGTTACGACCATTCGCACGTTTTCTCCTGTGTGGTTTCTGAAGCAATATGTGAGATCCCATATACCATTCCTTTCTGTGCTAATTTACCGGGGGGGCCGGCACTCCATATATATTGGCATCGTAGGTTTGTGCAGCGGGAGAGACCCCCCTTTTTCACCCTAAACTTCCGTTCCAGTGCATCGCATTTTTAGAATATCTCGTTCCAGAGCATCACAAGTTTACATTTTCGGACATAGCCATTTCCAGAACATCCCACATTCAACAAACATTAGTTCCAGAGACCACCATTTTTAGGTCTCAGTTAGTTCCACAGCCCCCCATTTTTGACTTCGCAGTGGCACATGCCTACCATCACAGGCACTTGGAACATCTCAATAAAAAACTTTGATTACTACCAAAGTCTTAATGTTTCTCTACTCTATTTCGCCTATAATCACCTGTAAATGCCGGTCAAATGCTCATCTGCAACACACAAGTACACCGCCACACTAGCTGCTGCACACTGACACATAAATATATATTTATGTGTCAGTGTGCACGCTAGCGTGCGGCGAGCAGCGTGTGACAGTGTGGTGCATATGAGCATTTTGGCGCATTTACAGGAAATTGTCGGCAATAATAGGTGAAAGAGAGTATAGAGAAACATTTAAGACTGGTAGGCCTAGTAAATAGATTTCGTATTTATTTAGCATTATATTTTATTGAACGCTCCAAGTACCTGTGCCTACCATTAATATGGGCGTGAGTGCCCCCCCCCCCCCACGGCCAATGACGCTCGCGTCGTTAGAGAGAGAGAGAGAGAGAGAGAGAGAGAGAGAGAGCGAGGGGAAGAGAGAGCGATTTTGTTGTCTATGCCTACCAAATTACCAATGGCTATACATGTGCACGTTGACCTATGAGTATTTGGCAGGTATAGCATATGTTCTGTTGTGATGTGGCGATACACAGCCGTAGTAAAGCAAAATAAGAATATAGGGACAAGGGAAAATAGGGACGGGGGAACATAGAGTGGACCCTCTCCCAGGCGCCCGTCACCCCAGCAGTCATAAACATGCTCCGCATGCACGCGACATCACCGCGCGCTACAGTCATGAAACAATCGGGGGGGGGGCTCATCAATCGACACCGCGCCGCTCTCCGCAACGCACGTTCATCGTACGTGCTAGCAGCAAGTGCGACACACGCTGGCTATCTGCAACACCCGCTGTTGATTACACATCTCCCCCTTTGTCGTTGTACCGCCTACACTATATTTATATTCTAAACCGTTGACTTCGGTGTGCGCGTATCAGGGCCGCGAGATGTAGGCCGCCGTGATTATTTTCCAAGTTAATTTATATGTATTTAAATTTTATTTTTTGTTTGTTTCTGCAATTATTGAATTGAATAATACTGTCCCGGATGTGTCTCCTACAGTATTATAATCAGTTAATTGGCTCTATATCTTTTGCTACTACGGCTCTATCTTTTACTACTATATATAATTTTGCTAATTAGTTGAATTTCCAGGATTTATTCCTGGTTCTGGGTTATGTGATATTGTTATGCAGTTGCTACTGTCTTTTCTTTGCATGAAATCTCATCAATGTGCTCTCATTTATTTTGCCTGTCAATTATTGTTCTTTGCTTCTATTCATAGCGTTTTTTTCTCTTGCTATACATATACATCTATATATATTTGGGATCTGCATATATGTTTATTTATATTCCTGAAATCAGGTTCATGTAGATTCAGGTTTATTTGCATGTAGTTTATCTATAGTTTATTTATTTTTATACATCGCTCATATATAATTTTGTAATTATCTATCGTATTGTCATATGGTTTAACTTTCTGAAATATATTGCGGAGTGGCTGCATGACTTGAAGACTGTACAGTCAATTCGCCCTGCTTCGCTGCATTTATTAAAAAATCGTGACATTTATATAACCATGTATAAATTTTGATAGCGTAAATAAATTTTAAAATCTAAAATCTAGAGTAATTAAATATGTTCATGATTTTATATGAATGTATGTATAGTATTATACAATAATGTTTATCTTGACTGTTAAGAGTTAATTAAGAAACTAGGAAATTATCGGCAATAATATAATAGCCCGTAAAGGCGAAATAGATTGCCTTTGGTAGTAAATCCATATCGTGTTTATTTAGCATTATTTTTGTTTATTGAAACGCGCCAAGTGCACGTGAGCTCATAGAAATCGCAGCCCAATAACCAATAACCAATAATACGGTTATATTGGGCTGCGATTTCTCATACGTAGATTGAGCCCATGAGCGAGAGCGCTATTATATCTGTCGTGAAGTTTAGCGATTTCTATGCGTCAGCTGCGCATACGTTCAGTGCGTCGTATAACCATTGACGAATAGAGAGCGGTGTACTAAGAATAAGCCACGCCTACCCTTAGTCAATATACCCACCAATCATGTTCGTTGATTTAAAACTCGAATTCGCCGCGGCATATTCGGTTTTGTTAGACTCGTTTGTTAGACTTGTTGGTAAGTTTTGAGAAATACGTGTAGCCATATGTCATTTGATATACCTAGGTAAAATCTGGAAGTAAGATCATCATCGTAGCTAAAACCACTTACCGATACAAGTAGTGCGACACAATAACAATCAGGATATATTAGTTATTTGTCTTCGACAAGTGACACATTATTACCACTTCAAGTTCAGGCACTTGACAGTTGACCACAGCCACAGGGACTTGAGGCGAAATATAACACTTTTTTCTTTTCTTTTTCGCCTCAAGTCCCTGTGCAGTTGGCTAAACCGACCAGGCTCTCCGACTGTTACACGTCGTAGGAAACCTCTCGCCAACGTAGTGTTAAGCGAGAAGGGAACTTGTAAGTTGTAGCTAGACTTAGGCTAACCCGACCAGGCTGTGTGACTAACGTCAATACGTCGCTATTCTAACCCTAGCAATACCGTTTCTTGGAGCTAGACTTAGGCTAGCTCTAGTACTATAGCCCGCGGATCGCTGTCGCAGGGCTATAGCACATTCTGCCATAGATGTATCTTAAGCAAATGGTCAGAACTGAATTGTGACACCAAAAATTTATCCCCAAAACGGAAATGATGCGGGCTTTTTAAGACTTATCTATCAAGCGATGGACATCTACTATCTTTTTTGAGAACACTTGTCCACAACTTAGCACCAAGGTTATAGCGGCGTTCAGCGTGACGTACACGTGCCCCGGTCACCGTGTGTAAACATCCGAAACTGTGCTGGTTTGCAAAAGCGTTCGCAGGTGCGCTATTTTATATGTTTTGTTGTGGGCATGTTGTATTGGTAAAAGATTGTCAAGTTACTGCGTTATAATAGGATCTAAGTGATCGACATCGAACGGACAAAGGTGTTTCATTCATAGAATACCTAGTAAATCAAAATATCCAGTGAAACGGACAATTTTGTAATAGATGATAGGACTCTAGTACTAAGCTATAGCCCGCGTCACAGTGACCTGCCGGCAGTGAACTAGCTGCGGCAGTGGCACTGTACGCGCCGCTAGCCTATAGCTATAGTAGCATACTATACTAGTACTAGAAGCTTATTAGATTGAGAGAAAAATAACAGTACTACCCTGTTTGCATAGTTATCATTCGATTATATAGATATTGACAGCGCAGGTGCATATGTGAAATTAGCATATTTAACATGTTTACCAATAGCACTCATTCGTTCGCGCACATATAATAGGTTTACGCGAGCTTTGGAAATTTTGGCGCAGCAGTTAGCATTTTTTGATTTATGCCATTCTGGTCTGACAGCAAGTAGCTGCAAGTACAACGGTATTGCTTATGGTTAAGATACTGCGGTATATTGCAGCGTTAGTCACCAGCTGGTCGGGTTTAATTAAGCAAGATGTTCCGTGTAGGCCTACATGTACCAAATTGTTTTAGGGGGTCATGTTAATTTAGGCGCTAGAGATGCTTATTGATTGTGCGAGTGTTTATTGAGGCGCACGTACATGCATGCAACTCTAAGCTGGTCGTGCCTAAGACATGGTCAAATTAGCTAAGCATAATAACACGTCAAGATCTTTGTGGGTATCATCCGCCGAAGCTGGGTCGGTGATGTTTTATGTGCACGTGTATGTGTGGTCAAACATCGCGACATGTAATAAATCACACTAGAATTATGATTTTCGGATCTTATTGAGTATGCGTGATTAGTGTCCAGCTAACGGGGAGTTCTCCTAATAATGAGGATTTCAGTCAGCAAAGATTACAGCATTTACTACGCGGCCCTGCAGAAACAGTCGAGTGCAGAGAGACGTCGAAAAACGAAACGAAAGCTTGCTGGGCGTCTGTAATCCACGTTGGTACCATGCGATTGAGCGAATCAAACAGTCAAGTCCTCAGCACCATGCATGTCAATGAGATATGTTTCCCATGCTGACAACATCATCACTATTTGCTCTGGCCACTGTTTAATTTGGGCATCCTCGACTTGTCGATGTTAAATAGATGAGAGATAGATAGTATAGATAGAGAGAGTAGGGCGAGAGATAGTGGAGTGAGAGTGTGAGAGTGAGGCGAAGCAAGAGTGGAGTGGTGAGAGTGAGTGACGTGAGTGAATGTTATCTTGCAATTAATCTATTTAGCAATGTCCAAGTGTTTTTTTACTTCATTTCATTTGTCATTTCAAGAGTTATGTCGATATAACGCCAGTCTTAAAATATGAAATAATAATACAATAAATTACTAAAAGTCAGTGATATTTGTTTGTCAGTCAAAATTTATTTTTACCTAATACAATTATTCTTATATCTGCATTTGGCTATAGTTATGACAACTAGCTTAGAAACCTTGTAGCTAAGTATAACTGGTCGAACTTCACGTTCGGATGATAATCAGCATAGCTCACAAAATCAGCAAACATGATGTATGGAACAGTTTTGTTTAGCTGTAAATAAGCAAATCTCTAACTGACGTAGGTGCATTCAATTTAGAAAAAAACTATGATCATTTATAATTTTTAAATTTAAAATGTGTTATATACACAGTACGTATACATTGTAATCTGCTTTGTTAGATACACATAATCACCCAAGTAGATCATACACGAAATTATCTATATAAAGGGCCAATATAATAAGTATGCTAGTAATTAATAGTATCAGTAATTTAAGCTCTGGAAGTATGTGTCGCATGAACAAATCCTGGCAGAGTACTATAGCAGTATACCGGTAGCTGTCGGCCGACAGAACTTTGGCATCGTAGCGTAAGTCCTTTGCCACGTGTCAACACGCATTTTTATCGGCATATCAATAAAGTCAATATAAAGGACGTGAGATAAGGGGACCAATCGGGTTCTCGAACTGCTCTTGTGAGGCGTGTCGTTTCCTGCATTCATCGTGCCGACAGGGTGGATGCGTGTCAAAGAAGCATGGCGTAAAACATGCTGCATTCAAGAAAGGAGAAGCAGCATCACTCGAAGCTGAGCTTTTTCTGTTCCAGACACTGAGAGTTACATTTTTCTTTCTGGCACCTTTTAAAGTGTTTCTGTGAATCTGGGATGGTAACCTGGCTGTAACTGTACATAAAATGCACCGGCTATTAAAATAAACTACTACAATATAATCACTCAGGAGTGAATAATCATAGATTTGTAGATAATACGATAATGTATTTTTAAGGCAACGATGTAGTAAGCGATTAGACATACTGTCAATATAAATAAATCATTTTAATATGTAATGGGAATATGTTGTTTAGTAACATTTACGAGTAGGTCGGCAATTGAGAACAAATGATGTTTTATTTTTAGTATACTTCTTTGCGAAATAATTTATTCCATTCACATGCCCGAACTAGTTGATGACGTCGACTTGAATAGAGGGCTGCTACGGTGGCTGCATGTTTTTGTCCAATCTGTCAATGAGAACACGTACATGTAGGCACGATTATTGTTGCATAATAGCATGTCACATGATAGAGTAATCGTTGGCGATTTTGTTTAAATTGAAAACATAAATGTAGTCATGTATGTAGGTAATGTGCTAAATGTGGTTGGCAGTGTCAATAATTGGATTTAAAATCTTTACGTTGTTTTTTATAGGCATATGTGCAATTGAAATCTCATTAGCTACTTTGTAGCAAAAGACTTTGTCATTCTTTTCGAAGTTAAGTTTAGTTAGTGACGTTCTAGGTGAACTAAACTCTGCCTGCATGATGATTAATTGAATTTTCTCAGTGTGGTCACTATGATTTGTAGGCAACGCATATAATGATACTTATTACGAAATGATTAGAAGCTATTACGAAGTATGCATAGCATGCAATGCAGCATGGCAGGGCGGGCGCACAATACACAACAGCCCGGCCCAGTTGACTATACACATGTTTATGGTACACCCAGTGTTGGTGGGTTTGTCTGCGGCAAGTCGTTGAGATGGCGTAATTTCAGCGGCTTTTCTGTGATGAACGTCAGGAGTCTATGCAATAGACCATAGATAGACTGCATGTAGACTATTGATAGAACTCGCCTGAGACGTGGTACATATGTCCAGTGGATGCTACAACTGAAGCACAAATAGAAATTATGAGTATATTTACTTTTTTATGTATGTTGGAGCGCTAGTTTAACATGCAGACATTTACAATATTTTCGTCAATAATGAATAATGTTACTAAATTATTATACGGGCGTTAGAACCATAGAATGAGAGATTACATAGCAGCAAAAAATGTATTACCTGCTGACACTGCTGACATGCAGTGCTGTATGGCTCTTCGAGCTGTGCATTACTCATAACACTCGACACTCTCACTGGCCACTTTGCATGTTACAGTAAAGATTTGGGCAAAATTGCGTTTTGTAAACAAATCATACTGTACTGATAAGCTTGAAACGATTTGAAGTTTTTCATCGGTTGCGCACTGGTATATATTCCTGTTTATGGGCTGGCATTACGCCTTTATGTTTATGGCTCTGCCACCGCATCAAACAGCGGCTTCAGAAGCAATGCTTTTGCCAACCAGAATCTGCGCATGCCGCCAAAATGACGTAGTTTGTTTAGCCAACGTTGAACGCCGCTTATTTATGCTGTTATTCCTCAAGTCTTCGCACTACTGTGTTTTGTTTTCAATATGGCGGTTGCTGCTGCTTATGTTAGCTCTAGTACTATAGCCGGCTTACATTAACTGCCGCTGGGCTATAGACCCGACCATGGGGCATGCATGGACCACGGTAAGCTCCAGGCCAGTGCGAGCGGGAGGCTTATGTATTGTCGCCATGTAGAGGGGTGGGCGGGTGTGTTGGTTTGTTGGGCAAAAACATTGTTGTTGTGAAGTAACAAATTACAATAGTTTTGTTCATCTTTCCTGACAAAACTAATATTCAATCTCTTTGATGCTTAATTGTTGACTTGAGGCAACACAATGTTTTTGTCCACAACCTCCGCAACCGCGCACGCGCCTGCCCACATGCGGAATACATGTTCCCGCTGACATGCGCTGCTGCCAGCGCCGCCAGAAATGGCGGGCGTTTGAAGTTCGGCAAATCCCCCCCCGAGATGTTTGTTCAACCGCACGAAATTACCGAAGTATACCATTGGCAACGATAGTTGAGGTTCGAATTTTAGTAGGGCGGCTATACTTAAGACATATTCAGCTTCGGATAAGAGGCATTAATTGGCCTACCACAGACGTTTTATTAGTCGGGTATAATCGGGATAAGTTGGTACATTGCATGGCCCATGGGTCGATTCTATAGCCAGCGGCAGTTAATGTAAGGGGCGGCTATAGTAGCTAGAGCTATGGCTTATGTGTGCACGCGTGATTCTTCAGTGGCTAAGACTTTTGAGGAATAACATCATAAATACCTGGTGTAAGAGTTGTG